GGCTTTAAAAGCCAATGGGAACTGAAATATTAAGTACCGTGAGTTTGGTGTTTATTTCTTGGCGCGGGAAGCAAACTTTTGATACTATGATCTGCAGTGGTCTTCCTATTTTCAAACGTCAGCGGTTCCGGTATGTCGAATTCAAACGGTTTCAATAGTTTGGGTTTAGGGTAGAGTAATGAGAGTATAGTTATTCCATGACACCGAGGAAACATAAAGTGCAGTCGCAACAGAGCCTGTTCAATGCATGTACGATATTTTGTACGGTTTGAAGAAATGACTGAACCCAAAGGGCTTGGTTTTTTAGTGCCCGCAGTGATCGCTGCCATTGCTCGGGGGACTTCGGTAACATTCTTATCGTGGCGCACCGGTAAAAATGTCGAAAAGTTAGAACGATTAATGCGATCGGAAACACATTTCAGATTTTCCAAATATTCGTGAGAGAATATTGCGCATCTCTGATTATGCTGGGTGAAAACTGGTTGACAAGGCGGCCGTGAATTTGAATGTGACCGTGTTGTGGAACCCATGGTCAGGGATTCAAGGGACTCGAAGTCCATTTCTTCAAATTCGGAAGCGTGTAACTTAGCAGTAGATGTTCTAGAGCATGTTGACAAATGAGCAAGATCTAGTAAAATAATAAAAGTAACAGCATAACTACCTCCGTGACCCGGCGCTTTCATCGGTTCATCCATGGTACCCAAAATCAGTTCCTGGAAGTCCTGTTCCCTCAATTCGTTAGTTTCCCGAGTACTATCCACATTTTGTTTCCGGCTGGACGTAATTCGACCAGTAATATAACCCGGTGAGTATTCTAGAAGAACATTTTTGCGATGAAGCATGAATTCATGACTAACCATCGTTTGCGTTTTCTGGAAAGTCGTCTTCGGATATCTTCAACGGCTCTCCATCTTGTTGTCCAAAAAACATCAGGGAGTTGAGATTTCGTTTGTCCGCATTATATAGATAGCGTTCTGCTGAAATAAGTGTTTGAAATAGGGCCGATTGAGAAAATGTGAAGAACCAAACCTACCTGTGTTCGGTGATATGCCATAGTCGTCATCAACTGAGCTAGCTAGAGCTTCATCATACGTTGAAATATCTATAAATAATTTAGATAGGAAGGGAGTGCAAACCGTCAAGGCCCAATTGGCGAACATTCCTGTGACGTGCCATAGTTTAATAACGGACCACTCCGTTAGTCCGGTATGTGGTCCGCAGTTCAGTTCAAATTTAAATCACGGGTCAGGTCAGGTCAGGTCCAATCCAATCCAATCCAATCTTCCAGGACGT